TAAGCTTGGAGATGATAGCAAACTCCATATTCCAGCACATCCATCAAAATACACATGACAATGTGTATTTTGATGGATGTAAATTCATTATTGTTTAGATATAAACATGTTGTATAATATAGGAATTCTATTCAATTCCATTGAGTCATTTCATTAACTTTCTTTTTCGCTATAATTAAGTTAAGATGTTCCATTATCTCTGCCTACCCCAATAGGGAGATGGGCATGGCAGTATTATCATAATAATATTGTGTTTAAAAGTTTGAAATTAACATATGAGGTAGTTTTTATCCCGGGAACATGGATGCAGTCACTGCAGAAGCAGAAGCTAGTGTATGTAATGTATGATAACAAGTTAAAACAAGTCAATACACTGTACAACAAAATATCAGTTTGTCGGAACATGTCATCAATTCTTGACAGCAGTGGTGCAACATGTCCATTAATATTTGCTAATCATTGGGCAATGCCGATGTTGTTGTGATAATCCCTTATATTTTTTATCTATTTCATAATTATTCAGGTATTTATTGATTGACTGTACTGTGTTGCTTGTTAGGTGAATTGTTTGTTTATTTACTTTATTTTATTACTTACTTTTGCCTGCATATTCCTGTTTTATCCCATGGGAGCATCGGGATGAAAAGTATCCTCTCACCTACGTCAGCCTATACACCATATTTATTTTCATCAAAATTCGTTCAGTAGTTTCAGCGTGATTGATAGACAAACAACCAAACAAAAAAACTTTCACATTTATAATATTATTAGTATGATAACAGTCATTTTTAATTCATACTAGCTTCTGCCCGCGACTTCGTACGCGCAATCTCGTTTTCTCCCGTTCCCATCAGATTTTCAGGATTTTTTTCTATCATATGAACCTTCTCCTGACAATATCAAACGCAACAAAAAAAAATCAGCCAAATCGGTCTAGCCATTATCAAGTTATGGCGTGACAACGGGAAACGGGTTTCATTTTTATATAATTAAGTAATATGAACACAGATTATTTGATATTTTAAAATTTATTTATATGGAAGTGATGGAACTTAAATGTCTAATGGTCTTTTTCACCAATTCACCAATCAACCCTAAATAATCTCTTAACTAAGAGTTGCTTTCCGTGAGGAAGCACCTAAATTTAACCCTTACTGTACTGTTACATGTCACTTGTACATTGCTTTAGGGGTACTTTAAAATTGAGAAGAGATGGGTAAAACGGCCATAAGGAACGTAGTAGGTGGTGATTTGTAGTTTCTATATGCACGGTTGGTGCGGTGGCTGGGCAATCGGCTGCCGTGCAACGTGTCGTGGGTTCGATTCCCGCACGGAACAACACTTTGTGTGATCCACAAATTGTTGTTTCGGGTCTGGGTGTCATTGTGTTTGTGCACTTGTATGTTTGTAAACGCACCCACGACACAGGAGAAAATCCTAATGTGGGGCAACGTTTTTATAAAAAAAAAATATGCCATGAGATGAAGGTGTGAGTTCATGTATGCATGTATGAGTGTGTAGTATGTTATGTTTAATTTAATTATAATGTAATGTATAACGACAGAGTATAATAAGTTATGACATAACAATGTTGGAAATATGCATTGTCATTGTGTTTTGAATAAATTTATTGTGTGTTTTCTGAATAACAAGAGCATATTTGGTGTTTTTATATTATCTATACAGATACATAAAATTGGATTGTCTGTTTGTTATATTAAAATAACAGCTTTTTTCCACATTTTTTGTCTGTCTGTCTGTTTGTCTGTGTGTTTGTACTGGTTAATCTCTGAATTGTTGATGACAGGGTGAAATCTTCCAACGTCGCCTAGCGTTTTGGGGAGAAAGACTAGGAAGTGTGGGATTTTTACTTCACTAAAACCATCCCGGTGTCCATTGTCCATTCTCAGCACCTGTACGGGGCACCAGGTTCTCTAACAGATCTGGGTACCTAGAACCTAGAGACAGACATTGTAGAACATACTTTTTTTTAAAAAGAGTAACAAATGGAGTTTCTTGTTCGTTCTTCTCCACTCGAATCTACATTTTGGAATGAGCATCTAGCTTCACTGACGGACTGACTGCTATTATTTATTTTATTTTATTATTGTTTGTTGACGTTTCAAAAGTACCAAATTATGGTTTAATTGAAATAAATGCTTTGACCACCTGATGGCAACACCACAGGAACCACAAATGCATTGCCAGCATTTTTAAAAGCATTCTTCTTTTACTCATAAACATTAGCAAGGAGATTATAGATTTAATTATTATGTTTTCGGCTTAATCACGTAACTGTTTGACGGGGATCCAGTAGCAGAGCGACAGTCGCGTGTCGCGGAATGCTGCTCATGAATATGAGCCTCCAGGATGGCATGAAACTAGTCGAGTTCCTCGTCAAACAGTTACGCGAGTAAGCCGATAACATAATAATTAATTTAGTATGTCACACGAAAGTTATGAGGTTATCGATCTAGGTTTTTATATAGACACCCTAAGTCTGGCCTGTACCTAACTATAGACCCTTCATCACCTCATTGACTACCAATTTTAGCTGTAGTACGGAGTATAGTAGAATGCGTAGAGTAGAACTAATCTACCATGAACACAGCTACAGATCAAGTTATGCTAACCAGTATAAATTGACCGTCGACTGTACAGAAAGATTAAACGAAACGCGACTATGATATACTGGTCTTCTACAGTTCGATGTTTAACCAGTATAAAGTGACCTTTGAATGTCTTCAAAGGTCATACAATGCGAGACCTTAATATGCTGGTTTATTGTAACTTGATCTGTATGGACCTTCATAACGATATAATGAGTAATTAATAATTGATGTTCATTGATAAACCTTTGTCCATTGTTTTAATGTCGTTTATTCAAGATTTTTCCTGATACAATGAGATTATGTAAATGTTAGTCATTTTTTAAATGGTTTTGTACTTAGTAATACACCAATAGTTATTTGATCTGGGTCTATTTATTTAATGCCTAATAGATATGATGAGAGACAGACAACAGTTACAGCTTAACTTGTCTGCAACCTTATATTTGTCTCCACTTTCGCACTAGAGTATTTTTACTGGTATCATAAATAAAAAAATAAACTTACTTCTCAATGGCAACACCAATAAAAACAAGTTAAGACTTGTAGACAAAAACAAGACAAAAATTACATTTGTGTCATTTTGTCTGTCCACAAGACAAACCTTTCGGTTTCCTAATGGATTCATTTCGGTAAGCGTGCGGGGGAATTGCACAACTTGATTCCCCCTAGTCCTTTCCATCATCGTACCACAAGACAATCCGCGAAGCGTCACCGATTCATGGTAGATGTTCCGCCCACACGCACGAAGCGCTTTGCTTCAAGCTTCCTTGTGCGTACTGCTAAAGAGTGGAATTCTTTGCCAGAGTCTGTATTTCCTGAAGGGTATAACCTGGGAGTCTTCAAGGCCCGAGTGAATAGGTTGCTTATGGGACGACGTGCTCCAACGTAGGCCGCATCATCGCTTACCAACAGGTGAGATAGTGGTCAAACGTCGCCCCATCAATTATAAAAAAAAAAAAAAAAAAAAATATTTCCTTTCCCGGGGGGTAGGTACGAGTGTATCTGTGACCATAGTCCAGTAGTGGACTCTCACCCAATGTTTATGTTGATATACAGTACATATTGGCCATTTTGTTTGGAGCTGCGGACCGGGCTTTTGGACTCCGGCTCCATGCAGGAGTAAGAACGTGGTGGTGTTTAGTCAGTGTTTACGTGAGCCTACGCATAAATGCATAGTAATGTATTTCACTAGGTTAACTGATAGCTATAAGTAATTTTAGTGTTTCTCTTTTTTGCAAATACCGCCATGTATTTACTTTTTTATTCTTCCATGTCCGTGCTATCGAAATATAGCTCTCAAATTGTTGGAAGATTTAATTCTAAAATCCTTATAATCCCCCAACAGTCAGTAAGAGTCTGACACTCTCTGACCTTACATAGGCCGGGAGGAGACATTGGATGATTTTCCTCCCTCAAGCAGTGACAATTACCTCGTGTGATGATTATTGTATTTACCTAGATTAAAGAATATAATGTGTATGTATGATGATAAGATAATAATGACGTGTACCTCTATTATTGTCCTTATCTCTACTGTTTGATACACGCGTTGATAACATTGCTTTGCTCTGTACGCGGGTTTGAGTTTGATTCCTGGATGGGAAAAGATTTATGATTGAAATTTAAAGTCAGTGTCAAAATCATTTATTTTAATTTTATTAGACCGGGACTTTGAATGTCAAGAAAAAATTAAAAAGTGAAGCTATTTGCTCGTTCCTATGTAGAAGTACGAACAAGAAACTCTATAGGTTACTCTTCTTCAATCAAGTTCACAATACAATTCTCTAGTTAGTTATAATTGTAGCAAATATTTTCTATTGATAACCTAAATCAAATTGATCCAGGATTTGGATTACTTATGATCGATTATTGACTTCGGCCGATAGTTAAGTTAGACATGCAGGTACCAATTTTTAGCTGGTAGACTTTTTTATATAAACACTAGCTTTTACCCGCGGCTTCGCTCGCGTTACAAAAGGATAAAAAGTAGCCTATGTGATATATAGCAATATAATATTAGTAAGGATGGTAGGTAGTAGGGACATGGTAGGTAGTAACCCTGTACTTTTTTCGGGGGAATTATTTCAAAGCCAGCTCATAGAGATGAACTAAGCTGTCAAAATCATTTGACTTTATGGTGAAATGAGAGAGTTCAAAGTCTATTAAACAATTTAACAATTAAAGGTATAGCTTGATGACTGCATGTATGGACTCAGTTCATGAATGGAGCATCATTTAGTTGTATCTCCGTCACTTGGCAGCGGTGCCCAGTGATTGATGCGTTGTCGTCGTGTAATTATACCGAGGGCCGCGTCCCCTGCCAACCCTGTGACGCGCGACACTTGGACTCTTGTATGCAGCACGTGATGTGCCGGGACTGTGTCGTTCATGGGTACGTAGGAACGAGCTGCGTGTTTGTAAATAAGAACCGAGAGTTTTTTTTTTAAATAACGTTGCCCTAGGGTTTTTTCTTGTGTCGTGTGTGCGTTTACAAACATACAAGTTCACATCACATCATGGCACACAGACCAGAATCAACAATCTGTGGAACACACAAAGATTTGCTCCAAGGGAATCGAATCACGTTGCGTATCAGCTGGTTGCCCAGTCACTGCATCGGGCGTGCCGTCAAACTTGTCAACCCTGAATAATTTCGAATAATAATAATGTTAGAATATCGTGTTTGTTAGGATTTTGAGTTAGGTTTAGAAAACAGAGAGTAAACTTCCCTAAGATCGGAAAAGAGCCGGCGAGGTGATTGTTTCTGGTGGGCTACTGCATTGGGATTTTCTGTGTCTATTTATTCGCGTGTAAACTTCACTTTCGCGATGTAGGATTTGTGACGTCATGTGGTTGATTTGTGTCGTCGATCGTCAATCTGTCGATTTAAATAATCTATCTTAATCCAATAACTCCGAATCGATCTTGAATTTTGACAAAAACTTTGTAAAACTGATGTCAAAAATCAATCTATATTAAATAATCCAAAGATATTGGTGTATTGGAATGGGTTATTGAAATCGGCCATGTGTGCGCGCCACAGGGAATTTGTGAGTAGTGTAGTAACGTGGTCTGTGTTTGTGTTCCAGATGTGAGCGTGTCATGTGGGGCGCTGCGGCGGGCTGGTGGTGCGGCGCGCTGGCGGCGGCCGCGCTGCTGCTGCTACTGCTGGGAGCGCGCTGCCGCCGCGCCGCGACACGACGCAAGCTGCTGAGCGCAGGCCCGCGCCCCGCGACCCCGCCCCGCGCGTCCGCGCCGCAGCCGCGTCTGCTCGTGGCGCGCCGCCTGCGCCCCACCGAGCCGCAGCGCGCGCGCGCCTCGCTGTGCCGCGCCCCCGCCGACGCCCCCCCCCCGACCCCGCGCACGACCCCCCGCAGATCGTCATAGTCAGCAACCCCGCCCCGCCGGCCCCGCACACGCCCGCGCCTGCCCCCGCCCCCTCCGAGCTGATCCCCAAGCTGCCGCTGCCGGAGCAGTGGCTCCACAAGCGCCTCGACTACAAGTACACTACCATCCCCCGCCCCATCATCGCGGACCTGGGCGCAGACTTATCCCAGGAGACCCGTGCCAAGAAGTTCAGTGCCACACGCTCGCCTTCACTGGAGAAAGACGACAAATCCCCCTTTCTGCTGAGCGCTACTGCAAAGTCAGATAAAGAAGTATTCGGCTTCGATAGCGAAGCTGTTGAAAAACTAAGTGAGAAGATGAGTGAGAGGTCTCAAGAAGAAGAGGCGTCTCCCAGCAACCTGAGGCGGTTCCGGTCAGTGAGCACTCGGCTGAACATGTGTAGTGTCAGTGAGGGCGCGCACCTCGAGGGACAGCAGGAGAGGCTGGAGATGCAGAACTCCCCGCGAGTGTTAGAGTGCAGCTCAGCCAAAGAAAAGTCTTCAGCTCCTAAGTTCGACTTCTCCCCGAAGCTGCTCGCGGAGACGATGGCCTCACCAAGATTCTTCACTCCTCCAGAGACGGTGTCCCCGATGTTTTTCCCGGAACCTTCGCCTAAATCAGTGTACTACGATACAGTGCGGTCTCCCAAGTTCTTTCCGGAGACTCCGCGCGACGCCGAAGTGCCGCAGTCCCCGCGTGCACTCGGAGACCATCTCAACAGAAACGGAGTCACGGAGAAGCCGTGCTCCCCGCGCGTGTTGAACCGACCTAGTCCCAAAGTACATAGTTATAACAAAGAGAACTACTTCACCTTCGAACAATCATGTTTAGAGGATAAATCACTGCCGCGACCGAGGAGGTATGGCGGCAGGAACTCTATAGAGAAGGAACGTTTCACTCCTCCCGCAGACAAGGAGGTCAGGAGGTACCGGAGACATCACAGCTGCGAGGCCAACTACAAGACTATAGAACTGAATATCACCAAGTGTGAGGATAACAAGGAGGCAGAGACAAAACTGGGAGAGGACGTCACCGACTGCTGTATCAAGATGGACACGCTAGATATTGAACCGAAAGTTCCAGAAGAGCCTGAAGTATCTCCCAGCCCGTCAAACTCCGCACAAGCGAGGCGACAGAGACTTAAATCGATATCTTTAGACTCTGACAACGCGAAGATAATAGAACAGAACCTTGGTCTGCCCATAGCGAAGCAGATGAAGGATCAGATGAATGAGGCCTATAAGAATCAAGAGACCAGCACCTCATGTGAGAGCATGGAGAGGCATCACGCACAAAAGACTCCCCCTAGCGAGAGACCTATGTTCAAATTCGAAGACGATACGAAGGATAAAGTGGTAGAAAGAGAGACAGAGGAACCGAAGTCTCCCGACGTGAAGCAGAAGAAATCTCTACGCCAAAGCTCCGACACACAGTCCTTCCTCGACATGCCACGATTTTCTCCGAAAGAATTCGAAATCACGGTGACGTCTGAAGAGGGCGCCACTGTAACCGCCGAAACACAAACGAAGAAGAAGGGAAAGAATCTACGAAACTTAAGAATCGACCTCACGAAACGAGACAGCGATTTGGAGAAGGAACTTTTGGAATTTGAAAAGTTGTATACTGACGCTGAGGAGAAGAAAGTGAAAACTCCCACTTTAAAAGTAAAGGCTACTTCTTTGGACTCCTCGGAAAGTGTGAACCTCTCACTACCTCAGAAGAAGACCCTGGAGGTCCCTCAGAACTCTGTGTCCATGCCGAACACTCCCAAACGCCAGATTAAAAGGATTCTAGCGCATAAGAACATCAAACATGACGTTGTTGGTGCTAAACTTGGGTACAACTCCTTACAGTCCAACGCAGAACAGCGCAGACTGTACATGAAAGGCCAGGATAGTGGGATCTACCTGCGAGAGAACCATGCAACCCTGATGCTGTACCAGCCCGGTACTTCTCGCATGGGTTCCCGAACCATGGGATCCTTTGATGAGAACATGGCTGACTTAGAGAACACGCCAGAAATTAACATATCGGGCGCAGATAGCCGGACGTATGTGGTTGATTCAGGAGCTACTCTTGGTTCCAATTTACTTAATTATAAACAAAATCTTAGTGTTTCAAGCACTAATCTGAAGACTTTACCTGAAGGTGTACCTTCAGATGACTTTGAGCTCAGCGCTGAGGATGAGAAGATGACGAAGAAGTTACATAGGAGGAATTCCAACCAGAGCTTAATGTTGAGTACTCATAGCTTGCAGAGCTCGAACTGTTCTTTGAGCAGTGCTGGTGCCTCCTGTCACAACCTAGCTGCAGTCAGGACCAGTGTCTCAAACTTTAGCCTTAATTCTGATAGTAGACAGAAGAAACTCAGCCTAGATCGACGAGACTCCAACAGCTCTTTGGCCACAGACCATCTCACACCCACCACAAGAGTTATATGCTCCTCCAACTCCAACGTATCAGGTGAAGTCACGAGGAACTGCCTCCTCCAGCGTCGTGGCTCCAATAACAGCCTGACTTTAAACATCCTCTCCTCGAATAACCTCAGCCGTCACTCCAGCAATAGTTCCCTCAATAAGGACGCCAAACCACACCAGAAAAAGGGCCTTCTGGAACGCAGAAGTTCGAATACTTCCCTAACTTTGAATATCAATCAGTCAAATCCTCAGTTATCAGTGAACAGAGGTCTCAGTGTGTCTAATTACAACTTAAACGGGTCTAGTTGCAACTTAAGTAGGTACAATAGCAATATAAGTATAGACAATCCTACTGCAGAGCCTAGAAAGGGGATCTTAGAGAGACGCAGCTCCAACACCTCCCTTACTCTAAACATCCAACCGCGGGAAGAGCCGCGCGACCTTGAAATAGACGAGACCTTAATAGACACCAATTTGAAAGACCTACCACACCGAGATAAGCACAGAAAGTCCCTAAGTACAGAGAATTTAATACCGAGGTCATACAAGAACCGGACAAGACTGCGGTCAACTGACAAAGGTGTAGGTTTTGGTTCTCATGATAACCTCTGGTCTACTTCGTACTCCGACCAGGAGTACCCCCAAAATCTAACCTTTGTTTGTGGAGACCAAGAGAATGAGATCATCTATGCCTTCGGAAGACAGGATGAGCCAAATTATCAACAAGGCTTCACTCGAAATATAACCACGAAACCGCTAAGTCCTCAAAGCACTTCTGAAGATTTCAGACTATATCTAGCTAATATGCAGCATTTACAAAACGCGTCTAGCGTCCTCACCAGACAGAATCTTAGGGACTTGAACGATGTATTCCAAAATGGGTACTCTAAAGTCAAATGCCACATACCTGGCGAAGGTCAGCATTGCTGTTCAGGGAGGGTGGAAGACCTTGGGAAGCAAAACCCTCAAACTGTGATACCGGAGCCAGTGGTCTCCCAACCCTGCTCGGAGTACCAGAAGATGCTGCTCCGAAATCTTCATCAGGAGTTCTGGGATATGCCGACGAATTTCCAGGAGAAGCCGTTGGTGTCTGGCTCCCATACGAAGAATAGATATAAGACAATATTGCCTAACGAGCACTCTCGCGTTATACTGAGGCCGGAGCGAGGCGCCCCTGAGGGATATATTAATGCCAATTATATAAAGGTGAGTTCTGTCTTTTATTTGTTTACCTTCTTCGATTTCAATCTCCTCTTTTTTAAGCCGGTTGATTCGTTTTATCTAAGTATTGTTTTATTATACGATAAAATAAAAAAATACATGTCTAATATTTTTTCATTACCTAACTGAGGGACTAATTACATTTTTAATTTTCATGCCCTGTCATCATCCCTATTGTTTACTGAACAAAATCGTGAGGAACAGTTTAAGTAATCATTCAATGTCTCCGAGTACATCAGTAAATGTTTTCTAAATTTGCATAAAATTAGTTTTTGTTTAAACTACTGTCAGTAGCAACAAATTATAATGAGGTTGCTTTTGATACCCTGGGAACTATCCCAGGGTATCAAAATTAAAAATCTAATTAATCCGTCAGTTAGATAATGAAAAAATATTAGACACGTATTTTTTTATTTTCTCGTAATACGTAGATAAAATGGCGCTAAGTTTAGGAGTGGGAGGTTATTACGTCATAACGTGCTACAAAATGTGGCACGCTGTGACGTCACAAGATATTTCAAATTAATATATCGTCGAGAGAATTTAATTTTGTGCGAAAAGTAAATAAATGTACCAGACGGACTTAAATAAAATTTAGGAAACTACCCTATTGTAAGCAGGCGCCGTAACCTAAGTACTCCTGTAACTGCAGAAATGTCATAAGTGCAAAACTTTTTATTGCGCCATTGTTGCAATTTGTAAAAATGATGGTGCATTTGTATAAATGATGGCGCAATCAAACAGTGAGTTAGGGTGGGACTTCCCTGGTTGAGTCGACCCATTCAAATTGCGTAACTAAGCTCTACTGGTTTAGAATGGAATCCATCGTTCTGAGAACTATTCCAATAATAGAAAAGTTATAAATAATATCATTTTCTACATTCCAGGGCCACGAGTACACGCGCAACACCTACATAGCCACCCAGGGCCCTCTCCAGAACACCCTCCACGACTTCTGGAGAATGCTCCACCAGAACCAATCACCAATCTCCGACCAGCCTCTATCCCCACAAAAGGTGGTGATGCTCACCAACTTTGTAGAAAACAATCGACACAAATGCGAGAGGTACTTCCCTCTGGAACCCGGAGAGGAACTCACCGTACCCAACCCAGAACGACCGGATGATATCAGTGATGTGTTTATAGTGAAAAATTGTGGACTACTCCGGAAACCTGGATACACAATCAGACATTTACAACTTTCATATAGTGACAGTGACAGTGCAGTGACCGTATACCATTACTGGTTCCATAATTGGGCCGACCACAAGTGCCCTAAAGATGTGACCGCTCTCCTTAACCTCAGTTTGGACGTCCTTGGAGGGACGGAGTATGACTTCAGTACGGACAGTGATAGTGTGTGTCAGTGTGATACTCCGAAGAGGGATGTGGACAGGTTTGTGTTCCCTCCGGAGGAGGCTCAGTGTATGGAGGGTATCGGAGTGCCTGTTGTAGTTCATTGTTCCGCTGGGATCGGTCGTACGGGGTGTCTGTTGGCTATCTTGAATGGTATCAAGCAGTTGATGGCTGAGAATAAAGTGGATGTGTTGTCTATTGTATGCAACATGCGTCTGAACCGAGGTGGGATGGTCCAGAACTCGGAGCAGTACGAGTTGATTCATAAAGTGTTGTGTCTTTATGAACAGACATGCTTACCTTTATAGCTGTCACCGCATTCTCTGGTCTATGTCCATTGCTAGTTATTTGAAAACTATAGAAAAAATTGATATTTCTTTGAAAATAAGTTACAAGTTTAGTAAAACAAGTATTTGTGGATCACACAAACAGTTGCTCCGTGCGGGAATCGAACCCTACACGCTGACGTTGCGCGGCAGTCGGTTAAAGCCATCATTGTCGGAACAATTCTAATCTATGGAAGTCAAATCAAGCAATTAATAAGTTAAACTGTAAAACACCGAGCGGTCACCGGTGACCGCAACCTATTGTTCTTTAATTGAGTCTATAATACGGTTCTCAAAGTGTTAAAGTTTTATAGTCAAACTAGCAAACCCGGCGAACTCCGTTTCGCCACCAGATGGCTTCGTTTTATGTAACATTCTTTGCTATAAACGTCACGGAGCCCGAGACCTTTCCAACGAATGCAAAACCGTGGAAATCGGTTCGTGCGTTCTGGAGTTATAGCGTCAGGAAGGAAAACCCGACTTATTTTCATTCGTTGAATAGATTAAAATATTTTATAATTTCCATTAAACCATAATTTGCTAAAAATTAATAATAATCTGTCAGTCTGTCCATCAGTGGAGCTGGGTGCTCATTCCAAAATGTAGGAGTTTATTATACCTCATCTAGTGTTGAGGGTGTCCATGAGCCTAATTGCTTCCCATCAGGTGCTCCATCAGCTCGTTTACTGGCTTATACCATTACATAATCATCAACAGCCAATAAATGCCCACTGCTGACCAAATACCTCTTCTCACATGGAGAAGGTTTGAGCATTAATCACCACGCTTGCTCAAACCATATTGTCTGTATACCATATATCTGGTGATTTTTCAAAGCAATATCATTTTTCTTTGATTCTATATAGCAAGCAATGGATATATATCAGTTTTTAAATAGGACAGTAATTAATTCTATATGATATTGTTTTTATAGTAGTTTCTTGATAATATTAACTGCATTATATTATATAAATGAATATAAACCATAACATGGTGGAGATAGAGTTGAAAATCCCAGTACAAGGTGGTCTTGGTTACAACTATATGGAATTATAAATCGTGTTTAAGGGAAATTGACCTTAATAATGGTGTTAATAGGGTTAAAGATGTCTCGCAAGGCGGTTTAATTTTACTTTTATGGAATTTACAATCGTATTTCTAGAGTAATTGATCTTAAACTGCTGGCATGTTGATCTTGGTTCTAAGTTTATTGTAATCTGTACATTGTAACTATGCTAATAAGGTTGAATGTTCCTCAAACATGAATGATGTTCCTTCTTTTAATTATCTGACTATGAAATACCATAAATATTTGACATCTACATGAACAAAGTTCAAGCGACCATTTTAGACTATTTGCCTTAATCATTTACAAAAGAAAAATCTATAAATAATCTACAGTTAAAAATGAACTTACCACCCTTTAAATAAAGCTCTTTTTCCCATATCATAGCATTATATGTGATTGTTATACTACAAAATGGACTGTAACAACCTTTACTTAAAGTTCTTTTTACTATGTCATGGTGGTTCTACGTATATGATGGTGTGTTTATAAGATAAACAAACAAACTGACTACCGTACTACGCCGTAATTATATAAAACTCGATAATTGATAGAAGACATAATAGGTTTAATCGTGTACTATGGAAAATTACTGCCTCGATGGCCGAGTGGTCGCAAGTGCTACGGGCAAGGGGTTTCGGTTTCGATTCCCCGATTGGACAAATTATTATTACTGAGGTTTTTTAAAATTCTCAGTAGTAGTACGGAGTCTGGAATTGTGTCCGTTATATGGTAATAGGCTCACCCCCTATTACATGAGGCTCGTAACATAAAATAGTGAAAAATGGGTGTTACATTGTACAGTGGCATTAAGTGCCGTAATGTGCACCTCTGCCTTCCACTGCGGGGATAAAAGGCGTGATGTTATGTTATAGAAAATTATTTTACAATGAGTATAAATATTTATATACACTCAGAGTGTTTGGGATCGGATTTCCGATATTTGAGCAACTTTATTGCAAAAAACTATGTAAAGGTGAAATCTTAACTAAAATGGATAATTTAGAACCAGTTTGTTATCAACATATTCAACCACAATATTAAAAATGAAATTGAGATCATATGTAACATACAACTAAACCAAGACTACTATAAAAATATATAGGTACATGTCAGTTAAGAAAAAAATATTAAACCAAAAACTACTATAAAAACAATAACATATAGACTGCTTGAGGAATTTATATAGATAAATTTTATTTTACGCACCATGTATACTACATGTGCTACAGACTCGATGGGACGCACAAATGTCGATTACACACTGTATATAACATAATAATTTTTTAACATTAGTTCTCTGCTCGGCTCCTATTGATCCTGGCGTGATGGTTTATACCCTATACCCTTCCTCCATCAATGTACTGTACAACACAAAAACAATTATTATCATTTCGGCGTACTCACGTAATTATTTGACGAGGAACTCGACTAGTTTCAAGCCATGCTAGAGGCTCATATTAGACGGTAGCAGCGCGACAGTCGCCGCGTCGCGGCTCGCGGAATGCTGCTCATGAATATGAGCCTCTAGCATGGCTTGAAACTAGTCGAGTGCCTCGTCCAGTTACGTGAGTAAGTCGAAAATATAATAATTAATTTAGTATGTCTCACAGAAGTTTTAAAACACACACACACACATAATTATTCAATTCGGACTAATTTTTTCGGAGTTTTCCGAGTTCAACTAAAATCTTCAGCTATACATTAACTTACGACTTTAAAATTATAGTCAAATCATCAAAGATCAATTATAAGGCACTTTTGAACGTCAAATACCAACACAGGTTTAATAGGGTAGATGCCTAATTTTTATTTTAATGTCCGTCTGGGTTATTTTAAATCATTAGACACGTATTTTTTATTTTCTTACAGAAACGAATACTTTTGACGATATATTGATTTGAAATGTCGCGTGACGTCACTTCTATATACATTTTATACGTAGAAATGACGTTTTAGCCCCCACTCCTAAACTTTGATTCGTTTTGTCTAAGTATTGTTTTATTATACGACAAAATAAAAACATACGTGTCTAAAATCTATTCATTACTTAATTGACGGACTAATTAGATTTTTGATTTTCATACCCTGTCATCATCCCAATTAAACCACTACATAGTATGAAACAAAGTCGTTTATAGCTAGCTGTCCCCATCTTTGAATGAAACTACTCAACGGATTTTGATGTGATTTTTTTAATATATAGTGATTCAAGAGGAAGGGTTATATGTATAAAAAAGGTATTTTAATGAATTTATTTTATCAAAAAAACGGTCGACAGTTTGTGTGTTCTATCAAAATATAATTTTAAGATTTTGTTTTGATAGTCAAAATTGTGTGAAAGACGGAATTTAAATATTTGTATGTTTTTAAATTTACAGAGCTGGCAACACTGTTTTGTAGTGTTGTTTTTTTGAGCTGGCAACTTTATTATTGTTATTTTTAATTGTATGTTTATAATGTTGCCATAATTATGTAATTATATTGTTTGTGTATTCTATTATAATAATGCGATCGCTTAAAAATGATTTTCAGTTAATTTGCTGATAATTTTACTGAGCAGTCAGTCTTTGTATTTATTTCTCGATTTGATTGTTCAGTAGTTATCAGTAATTTAGACTAACGGATTTTTGATCACTAAACAGCGCTAATGTATATGTATATTCAATACTTTAAACGTCTATCAAACTCTACTAAGGTCTCAGGACCTTAAACTACATTGGCGCCACCTGGTGGCAAACAAAATAGTTTGCCCACTAGACTAATTTTGTTATAGTAAATTACTGAATTTCAGGTTAATGCGATTGAACTATTTGTGAATACACAAATGGTGAAGGATAGGTCTAAATAAATGGAATTGCACATTTCATAGTAAAGTTGCCAGTGTCAAAAAAGTTTATTGCCAAAAAATCAAGCCAGTGTTGCCAGCGTCTGTTACATTGTGTGTAGAATAATTTTTTAGTCTATTTTTCTTGGATCGCACAATTTTTTTTCTTAGTTTTAAGTGAATTTGTTGTATATTTTATAGTTTGGAATTTATTATTTTACTACAATTATAATATAGGGAGTAATAATTTATTCTTTGTAAGTAGATAGATTTTTTATTATTTTTAATTTATTTTTTTCTTTGTAAAAATAGGCTAAGTGGATTTTAGACAGCATTTAAAAATTTATAAGTAATTAAATATCGATGTGTATATTATATCTCTACTATATGTGTGTATGTGTATTTTTTTATTTTAAACCGTGCATTGAAATATACATTGTAGTACAAACTATATTTATTTTTGTTTTTTTTTAATTTTCTTTTTTTATATTTTTTTTAGATCTGGACTATATGGAATTAGGAATTGTTTAACAGGACGGGTGCAATATATATTTTATAGAATTGGTCATACAATTTATTTATTACGTTTTTTGATTTTCTATTGGCATTGTATTGATGTGATGAACATTAATTAATCTAAATTATTTTATTCTTGTGGGCATACAATGTCACATTCTGTTTTAACTGACTGGCTCTCATGTTAACGACAATTTTTTTAAAGTTTTAGGCAAAAATATCGTAATAATTTTACCGGTTCGCATCGCATACTCTAGTGTTCCAGGTGTCCACGGGCGACGCTGATTGCTTACCATCAGGTGATCCATCTGCTCGTTTACTGCGCTATCCTATAAAAAACAACTCATTCCGCTCTCTTCCGCCTCACCTAGGCGGGAGAAGCCATTCGATGATTTTACCCCCCTTAAAAATGTAGTCTCAAGTATTAAAGTTATCTTTAAACCGTCGTGTGTCTAAACGTGGATCCACGCGAGATACAAAGTATTTTCTATTATATACGACTAGCTTTTACACGCGGCTTCGCTCGCGTCACAAAAGGATAAAAAGCCAATGCGATATATACCAACACACACA